TCCTTTTCCACCAAGACTCAATAAAACAGTTAACGTGTATGTAGCACTTTACGGTTTGACAAGTTCTTTACATATATTGTCTCATTTGCTCCCTCACCACAACCCTGTAATGTGAATGCTGTGAATATCCCCTAAAAGATGAGGAAACTGAGGTTGTGACTTTAAAAAGTCTCACACCCAGTAAGTGTCTGAGGCAGGATTTGAACTTGGGTCTTCCTGATTGCAAGTGCTCTAACAACTAAGTTACCTAGAAGCCATCAAGAACATCTGTAAGATTGTATTTATCTCTTTGTGTTACAATTTTGACTTTCATTTTGTTCCACATAATCTATGCATTGGTAAATATCTGAAACCCTGAGTATGGTTCCTAGCCCTCTTTCCTGTTTTTTCTCCTGAGAATTCCTGGTCACATCATACCTTCAGTAGAAATCCAAAAAATGACAGGAAATATTCCCTTGCACAGGCATAGTAAAAATGGGATCTAAAATCTTTGTCTTCCTCATGTGATCCTTTTTTCTCAAGAGAGAACTGTTTAGGGAGCAGTGAGGTGGCACAGTGGATAGAGCACTAGCCTTGGAGTCAGGAGGACCTGAGTTCAAATCTGGTCTCAGACACTTAACACTTACTAGCTATGTGACTCTGGGCAAGTCACTTAACCCCATTGCCTAGCAAAAAACAAAAAGAAAAAAAGAGAGAGAGAGAACTGTTTCATTTACACTACGGATTTAAGGGCCACCGCATTATCCAATGAAACTTAACAATGGGACAAAAGTCTAGTATACACTTCAGTACAGGCAATCATATGTATCCTCCAGAGGTGGAGTTATAAACTTTTTTTTGTATGATGGACCCCTTTGGCAAGAGACTGGTGAAACCTATATACTTCTCTAAATAATTTAAGTGCATAAAAAATTTGTAGGATTAAAAAGGAAATGAATTATATCGAAATATATTTATCAATTTTTTTTTGGTTTTGGTTTTGGTTTTATTTTACTTTTATATTCAGTTTCAAATTCTAGCCCTCCTCCCACCCCTCCCCCACCCATTGAGAACTACTATACCTATTATACATATGAAGTCATGTGAAACATATTTTTGTATTAGCCATGTTCCACCCCCAATTGCCACCCCCCCCAAAAAAAAGAATAAAAATAAAGGAAGGAAAAAATATGCTTCAGTCTGCACTCTGAGTCCATTAGTTCTCACTCTGGAGGTGGATAGCATTTTTTTTTAATCATGAGTCCTTTGAAGTTATGATAGATCACTGTCTTTCATAGTTGATTATCTTTACAATATTGCTATTACTATGTAGGTTGTTCTCCTGGTTCTGCTCATTTCACTTTATATCAGTTCATATAAATTTTCACAGGTTTTTCTGAAACCATCCCCTTCATTTTTTTTTACAGCACAATAGTATTCCATCACATTCATATACCATAATTTGTTCAGCCATTCCCAAATTGATGGGTATCCCTTCAGTTTCCAATTCTTTGCCACCACAAAAGGAGGTGCTACAAATATTTCTGTACATATATGTCCATTTCCTTTTTCTTTAATTTCTTTGGGATACAGACCTAGTAGTAGTATTGCCACCACAAAAGTAGCTGCTACAAGTATTTCTGTACATATACGTCCATTTCCTTTTTCTTTGATCTGTTTGGGATACAGACCTAGTAGTAGTATTGCTGGGTCAAAGGGCATAAAACTGTTGAAAATGGTTGGACTAGTCCATAGTTCACCAACAGTGCATTAGTAAACCTATTTTCCCACATCCCTTCCATCATTTGTGACATTTATTTTAACTGGTTATTTATATCTTGAGAATGAGTGTGATAGTGGAAAAAATCATTAGCATGAACTAAGCATCAGAAAATTGAGGTTCAGCAAATTCTAGTACTGGCTGCCTCCAACCAACTGAGATTGGGGAAACCACAGTATCTCTGGGCATCAGTTTTCTCATCTATATATTAAGCAAACTAGACTACCTGTTTTCTAAAGTCCTTTTCAACTCTAAAATTCCATGACTATGACTTTATAGCTCAGTTATATTCTGGGCCATTGAGTTTATTAAATAGTTGAGTTTTGCCTCAGTACCTGAAATCTTTGTGTGTGTATATATGTGTGTGTCACAATATTTTCCCCTTGACTCAAGAACTCTGGGTTTTGGCTTCGGGTTCTTTCAGGTGGTCATTATGGATTTTTTTTTTCTATTTTTCCTTTGTCCTCTGGTTCTCAAGGTGATTATCTTTTATGATTTCCTGAAATAACAATGTCCAAGTTTTTCTTAGTTGTATTTTTCCAAGAGTCCAATTATTCTCAAAATACTTTTAGCCAATCATCAAGGGTTTTTATGGTAGATATTTCTACTATTTTTCAATCTTTTGAGTTTGTTCATTTTCTTCTTGTCTTCTGGACTCATTGAGTTATGGTTGCTCAGTTCTCATTTTCAGGTAGTTCACTGAGTCAGTAAGGTTTCCCACCTTCTGTTTTATTTATTCTTCTTCCAATTCTTTCTTCTAGCATTCTTATTTCACTTATAAATTTCATTTTTAATCCTGAATTATTTCTTCTTGTTTCTCTTGGAGTCATGGTCAAGTTATTTCTCCTCTCCTTCCCTTCAGATTCTGCTTTTGTGTTTAATTCTTGGTATATTTACTATTTCTTTAAGGCCATTTTCATAAGCTTTCTGACTGCTCCTTCTCTGTCTCTTTTCTTGGATCCTGCTCCAGATAATGCCGTCTTATAGTAGGTGTCCCCTCAGAGTCCTTCAAAATATTTTTAACAACCAAGTTTGTAGACTTCTGGTTAAGACTCCCTACTCTAGAGGCCAAATACCTTGAGGAATGGGGATTTCACAGTTTGTTTCATCTCCAGATGAATCAGGAGTGCAGTACTACTATTCAGTGAGCCTGTAGTACAAATGCTGTGTTTTGGTGGGTTCTTCTGGGCAGAAAAGAATGGAGTCAAGTAGTGTCTCTCATGTAGTTAAAATGGCACTGAACTAAGACACCTGGATTCCAGCTCGGGCATCACCTGCAAGATTTTTGGCAAGTTGCTTTCTCTCTAGGTCTCAATTTCCTCATCTTGAAAATGAAGCAATTGACCAAAATAATCTCTGTGGTACCTTCAAGCTCTTCCTGATTCATAACCAGCTAAGTAGATGATTCAGATTCTGTTATCTGGGTTAATAGGCTTAGATAACAAGCATAATGATTAAAATAGATAACCAAAAGTTATGAGGGAACATCTGGACTTTATTATGAAGCAAAACTTGGCATAAGGTTGGTTGCTCTTGAATTAAAGAATGGTTAGTTAGCGAAGTGCCTGAAAGATATTCTTATAGGTGATTTCAGCTTTAAGGATACTCCATAGTCATTACCTTAGGAATGGACTCATCACATGATTCCATTGTATTGTTTTTGTTTTGTTAAGAGTTGGTGATTTAAAGAGCAGAGCTCTAACTATTTAGTAGATACTAGCAAAATCTTAGAATCTACTCTGAAACTACACTCAGCTCTTGATTCATTAAAGAAAAGGCAACATGGTACAATGGAAAGAACACTAGATTTAAAGTCAAGATCTGGGTTCAAATCTTGGCTCCACCAAAATTTTTAACATTATCCTAATAGATACATACAAAGAAATGGGAAAGAAACCTCCTTGGATGAGAATCTCAATCCTATTTCATTGACTACTCTTCAGGAGGCATCTAGGTAGTATAGTGGATAGAGGGCCAGGCCTGGAGTTAGGAAGTCTCACCTTCCTGAGTTCAAATGTGGCCTTAGATAAACTTACTAGCTATGTGACTCTGGGCAAGTTACTTAACCCTGTTTGCCTCAGTTTCCTCATCTGCCAAATAAACTGGAGAAGAAAATGGCAAATCACTCCAGTGTCTTTGCCAAGAAAACCTCAAACAGGGTCACGAAGAGTCAGACACAATTAAAACAACTGAACAACTCCTCAGGACACAGCTATAAAGTTCCAGGCACTATGTCTCTCCCACCACAGTGGGATTTGTATCTGATTTCTACCACTTGCTACCTAGGTGTTTCTGGGCAAGTTAATTAACTTTTCTCTGGGCTTTACATCCCTCATCTTCAAAGTGAGGGAGTTGAACTCTATGGCCTCTGACTCCCCTTCCAACACAATGATCTTCTGCCTTTGTTAGAAGTCACTAACAACCAGTAGCAAAGTGATTTGCAAAATCAAAGTTGCTGGGTCCCACTGGGAACAAGCTTCAGCAAATCACCAGGCAAGATAATAGAATTGTAAGAGTTTTCTTTCACATATCAATCTGGCCCAGCTCTAGGGCTCCAGAGTGCCATCAGGCTTCTTTGCAGACTGCACAGTGCTCAATAAAAAATCTGACCCTAGATTTTGGTGAGATATCTTTTACCTCCTGCTTCTAAAGTGTAGGCAAGCAAGCTATTCTTTAATCATTGCAATTCCCTTGGTCTTCATAGAATCAGTCCTGGAACTGGAAGGGACCGTCAAAGTCACCTGGTCCAACCTCCTCATTTTACAGTTGAGGAAACTGAGACCCAGAGTGGTTAAGTTAAATAGACAAGTAGCAGAAATAGGATGTGAGCTCAGGTCCTGTCTTCCTCTGGATGGAAACACATGGGGCCTTGAAATTTAGTCAGTAACCCAGTTACTAATTCTCATCTAGTGAAGCTTTCGACAGATCTTCATACATATAAGTCTCTTAAGATAGGATTAAAAACAAAACAAACAAACAAAAAAAAACCTTCAAACACTTCTTTAAAACACCAGTCCACAAAATAACATTTAGACATCCTTCAAAAGTATGAATGACCAATTTAAGTGAAACCAGTATCGTCTCCACCCCAAAGACCCAGGAATTTCACTTTTTCAGCTATGCTGCAGTTACAGACAGATGCTTAATTGTAGTGGTGCCAGGGGACTCCCTTTCAGTGACACATAATTTTGCATCATCTTTTCTGAGCTTACTTTTCTTTCACATTCTTGTATTTTTCCAGCAGACAGCAGTCTAGAGTTACTGTGTGGCTTTCACCCTCTGCTACAAGCTGAAAGGCACAGCTTTCAGAAATGTCAGAAATCCTCCGGGAACTAGTCTACGTTTCTGAAAAGGCAGCAAACATTGCCCGGGCCTGCAGGCAGCAAGAATCACTTTTCCAACTACTAATAGAAGAAAAGAAAGAAGGAGAAAAGAACAAGAAATTTGTAAATGACTTTAAGACATTGGCTGATGTACTGGTACAGGAAGTTATAAAACAAAATATGGGCAACAAGGTAAGGAAGCTTGCAAGAAAGACCATTGTTTTTCTCTGTATATAAATTTCATTTCATTTGCAAACCAAGTAGAAAGAGCTTTGGATTTTCTCCACCATCTTTTTTCTCTACTGTTGTTTTTCTTTTAAAAAATTACTTTATTTTTAATTTGTGGAAATAAATTTTAACATTTATTTAATTTTAATTTTTTCTTTCCAAATTTCATTTCATTCACAAATCAGGTAGAAAAGAGCCCTGGATTTGGAGTCAAAGAAATTTGAGTTGGAATCCAGGTTCTGACATTTGCTAGCTTTGTGATTCTAGGCAAATCATTGAACCTTACTGAGTCCTATCTGGAAAAAAAAGATTACACCTAGCTACCTGGGAGTTTTAAAAGCTTTAAAGTGATGTATAAAAGTATACTATTGTCCTCAGAGAATAGGAAATGTTTGAATGGTTTTAGACCAGCAGGTTTGCTTACTTATTAACCCTCCTTGTGGAAATAGTACTAAAGAATTTATTATTTCTTTTCATTTTTAATTTCAGAAAACTTAAAATCAATGAACCATGTATAAGAGTTTACAGGGCACTGTTGGAGGTACTGGGGGAAATACAAAATGAATAAAACTGTTACTGTGTATCCTTTAGTTAGTAGATAAGCCATGTTTACATATAAATAGAATAGAAAATAGAGCACCAGTATAAAAGTATATAAACAAGAGGAAACGTGGTCTAAAAATACACTGTACTTAGGATCAAGGAATCTGGGTTTGAATCCTGTCTTTCATTCTTGCCATTTGTACAAACATGGGCAAATCTATTAACCTTTCTAAGCCTCATTTTCAAGTTCTGTAAATTGAAGCTAATAGGTGCACTGCGCAGTTCAGGGTATGGTGAGTTAAGTGCTTTTGAAAGCTTCAAGTGCTATAGAAGTGTGGGCTATCACCCTGTGTTAATATTTCTGGACCACAGATCTTCCAGAAAGGGGCTGTTACCCTTTTCTGGTGCTGTTCAAAAATAGAAATAAAAAAGACATCTTTTTCTACGGTAACTTAAGTGACATTTTGACTAGAGGCAGAAAGACTATCAGAGGAAGTAGACTATCCTGAATGGCATTTCAAGGCCCAGGGACTTTCATAAAATTTAAATAAACACATTTTTATAAAGGGGACAGTGATCCTGGGGTGATTGAATAATGAGGTCAATTGCATTAATGTGTCATAAAAGCATTAAAAGAAATGTAGTCCATTGATGTTCCTACAAGATACATATGTTGGTGATGGTGTGGAAATAATTACCACTCAGAAGTCATATGTTTGTTTTCTTTTTTTATAAAGCTGTTTTAAGAATTTAATGTTACTTTGACATAGCAGAATGCCCCTTTAAGGAAGGGATTGTTACGGTTCTGTCTTGTGTCCTCAGTGCCTTGTGGCCAATCAATATTTATTAAGCCCCTACTATGTGCCAAACATTGCTCTAAGCACTGGGGATGCAAAAAGGATAATCCTTGTCCTCAAGGCATTTACAATCTGATATGGGAAGACAACCCACATAAGGAAGCTGAAAAGTAGTGGGGGAGAGGGGGGGAATGCACCCAGTACCAGGGGGGGATGATGGAGAAGTAAAAAGAGTGCAGCTGGGTGGGAAATGCACAAAGCATGGACTTGGAAAATTCATGTTTCGTTGAAATGATCTGTCATCTCACTGATGTTACTACTCCCTATGCAGTTCAGATTATAACCCATTCACAACTTCTCATTCCATGTAATTCTTATCCAAAGTTTCCTATAAGCCTTCTATAAGTATTTTAATCAGTACACTAGAAACTTTCCTCTAGGTCTTTAATAAAGCAGCCCTCAGACTGTCTATTCTATTACCCTTTGTTATATGACTAGCCCACCTCCTTTTTTAATTATACACTCTCTTGAGAGTAACTTTTATACTACTCTTTACAAATCAACTGCCTTTGGCAACATGCTGTGTTCTCTGTATCCCCACCATTCATATCTCTGTAGCCTCTTGGGTCATCTCTAATTTTGGGTTTATTAGAGCTCCTGATTTCATACCAGAAGAATATTAGTGTTAAATATAGGATTTTTGTGTCGGAAGCAGTTTGGAATCACTGAAAGCCCTGTGTGCTTTCCCAGATATAATCCAGTGTAAACGCACATTGGGGCCCAACTCACTCCAGTTCATCTGTAGCTCCTTTTAAATCTCTATGTACTGATGAACTAACTCAACTCATTCAATTACACGTCATAATAACAGACAAGATGCGGCCTTCACTAAAGTAGTTTTTCCTATCCCTTGAGTATGGATCTCATTGAGGAAGTTTCAAGCAGCACAATGTTACTGGACATGGGAATATATCTGAAGAACCTCCCTGTCTAGAGGGGAGATGTTTGGACGGTGCAAAAAGTCCTCCACATAGAGGCAACAAGGTGGCTCAGTGGATAGAGTGGTGGACCTGGACCCAGGAAAACCTAAATTCAAATCTGGCTTTGGACGCTTACTAGCTGTGTGACTCTGGGCAAGTCACTTAACAGCTATTTGCCTCAGTTTTCTCATCTGTAAAATGGGGGCAACAATAGCACCTGCCTCTCAGGGTTGTTATGAGTCTCAAGTGAGACAATATTTATAAAGTGCACAGTAACTGGAACATCAGAAGTTCTTGATAAATGCTTGTTTCTTTCCTTTCTTTAAGCATATATCTACCTGTTTTAGGTCTCTCTTGAATATGGTTAATTGGAGAATTGTTGAATTAAGTTAGCTCTGTAGTTATATCTCTCAAGGAATCTGGTATAATCTGATGTATACATGCAAGAAAAAGAAGGATAAACAAGTTGACCAGATTTATATGATCTTGTCAAGTTCTTCATAGAGTTTCTCGTCTTCTTTATCCTCTGCAACAGATGGTGACTTGTGAGCTGCAGTTACTTCCATGGTGGTCTTTTTTGTTTGTGCTTATCAATCAAAAAGCATTTATTAAGCACCTACTATGTGTCAGTCATTGTACTAGGGTCTGGGGGATTCAAAGACAAAATTCCCAGGCCCTGCTCTAAGGGAGCTGATGTTATATCAGTAAACACTTCAAGGTGAGATGATTATGCATCCCATGAAATATTTCCTGTTGGCTTTAGTAATGTAGTTTGGCATACCAACTTGTTGGTCAAACATAATAAGAGCTAGCTTTTACATAACATTTTAGGATTTAAGATTTGTACTTTTCAAATATTATCACTGTAAAATTCACCATACTCTCCATATTTAGAAGACATATTTTCAGCTGCTGTTTCTCTTACTAGTTGATCCCTTGTGATCTGGTTTGTTTTAATAGGGACATAACACTGTCATCACTTTAGATGCCTTGTAAAGTTCAAAAAAGTTTTTTCTGCTAGATACTTTCTCTAAGTAGGTAATGTTGCCACCAAGTACCTTGGTGATGGTGAAACAGGAAGAAAACAAGCATTATTAAGCACCCCTTATGTGGCAGTCACTATGCTAAAAAAGTTTCATATCAATATTACAAATATTATTTCATGTCAACATTACAAATATTACCTCATGTGATCCTTGCCTTGAGAGGCAGATACTATTATTATCCCCAATTTACAGTTGAGGAAACAGAGACAGTTAGTGACTAAGTGACTTGTCCAGGTGACACAGCTAATGAGTATCTGAGGTCAGATTTGAACTCAGGTCTTGCTGGCTGTGGGTACAGTGCTCTGTCCACTGTACCAACTATCCACCTAACATCTCACATTTAGAGTGCAAATGATTAAGTTGATCTTTCTAGAGGGTCTAAAATATGTTATTCTTTATACTCTCTCCTTTTTTTGCTATCCCACTGACATTGCTGAAGAAGCAGAAAGGGCCCAAGGAAGGTCACCTGGAGGTGTTTGTTTCATGGGATTTAGAGATGAGTGGGACCTTAGAGATTATCTAATTCAACATCATTTTAAAGGGGAAGAAACTGAGGTCCTAAAGAATTGTGACTTGACCAACTTCACAACACAGTTAGTGACCAGGATTAACCCAAATCTTCTCTCTCTGGATCCACTGTCCTTTTCCCTTGGCTGAATCATTTATTTCCTAGTGTCCAGCCTATTGGGGATGAACATCTCTGTCCATAGCCAGGCTTCTCCTTGAACAGAGGGGAAGTTGGCTGCTGGGTCCATCAAAGCTTTCCCAGCTTGTTTTTTAAATGATAAAGAAAATTTATCATGTCAAGTAGTATAAGACATAAGTCCAAAAAAACAATAACAAAACCCCCCAAAATATATTGATGCTCAGCTATTGACAAATAGGGTAGCTGGGTAGCACAGTGGGTAGAACACCAGGCCTGAAGTCAGGAAGGCCTTAGTTCAAATCCAGTACTAGCAGTGTGTCCCTGGGCAAGTCACTTAACCCTGTTTGCCTTAGTTTCCTTATCTGTAAAATGAACTGGAGAAGGAATTGACAAACCACTCCAGTATCTTTGCCAAGAAAACCCTGAATGGGGTCACAAGGAGTTAGACATGACTGAAACGATTGAACAACAACACTGATAAATAACCAAGTCGCCACCCTTACAGCTAACACAGTAACGCAAACAGAAAAATGAGTGCTGCTATAGGCTAATGTTCCTATTGCCTGTCAGTGCAATTATTAGATTAAAATTTCAGTATCATCTATAGTCCATAGATGATGAAAATGAGTTTAATAAAATAATTTTGCTTTATATCTTCAAGGGGGTAATCTATAACACAATTTGGCATATACTTAGAGAAAACCCATCTTTCCTAGTGTACAATTTCTACTCCACGATAAATGTCCATGCTCCATAGGAACAACTGCAAAATTTTGTTGGGCCTGATTTATTTGTTATCTGTCAAAGTGGCCTTTTCTCTTTATTATAGAATGTTTTGCTTATTTTGGGCAGCTAGGTGGCACAGCGAATAGAGAACACTGGGCTTAGAATCAGGAAGACTTATCTTCAAGAGTTCAAATCTGGCTTCAGATACCAGGTGTGTGACCCTGGGCAAATCACTTAATCCTGTGTGCCTCAGTTTCCTCATCTATTAAATGAACTGGAGAAGGAAATGGCAAACCACTTCAGTATCTTTGCAAAGAAAACCCCAAATAGGGTCCCAAGGAGTTGGACATGACTGAAAAATGACTGAACAACAATTTCCTTTATTTTTGATACTTTTTCTATTTCAGTCCCCCTTACTTTGGGTAACTCTTATATCCTAGTTCAAGTGCTAATAAAGCCTCTAAGTTGCTGAGAATCACAGCTTGAAATGAAAATAAAACCTAAAATCACCAGTCCCATCTCTGCCCACTAATCACTTGAGTACTATTTCCTTTGTAGCCACAAAGGTATCAGTTCACACCATAAAGCAGCAATCATTCTTTTAGTGGTCTGTAAGTAAGAGGCAGGATTGTGATTAAATGATATCTGGGAATTCTACTAGAACTTTTGCAAATGAAGAGGAACACACAGGGAGGAAAATAAATTTATAATTTGGGGGGGGAAGGATGTATACTTTTAGGCACAAACTAGAAAATTAGGTTCTAAATCAAGTTGTCCTTTTATAACTGGACTGATATCAAGGGCAGTCTCTGAATTTTCACAACTTATGTGTTGAATTTAGAAGACAAAATTAATCTGTTCAAAACTCAACATGTGGTTTTCTGTTTTTGTCTCCACCTATCCTCCCTCCCTGCACTCCCATCCTCAATCAATTCAGTTTCCAGGCTTGGAGAATCATATATATGGAGAAGAATCCAATGAATTTACTAATGAGTTAGGTGAGTATGAGAATATTCATGTGTATTCTTCAAACTTAATTGTCAAAGAATATTTTAGTTTTTTCTCTTGTGAATATAATATTTGAATCTTCTGTTTTGTTACATCTCCAGTCAAAAATGCAAAATAAAGCTTTTAGACAGTAGTTATGTGCTTATTATTTACCTCCATAGAAATATAATAGACAATCATTCACACTTCTCTGGATGGGTAATGCCATAATAATTTACTCATTCTTATCTTTATGAGTATACTTTATTTTTAGATGAAAGTACATAGATTGCAGTACACCATGAAAATAGAGACAGCAATGTAGCTTATACCGTGGTGGGCTTATTTTTCAAGAAAGCCTAGGTTCAAATTTCCTTTTGCCACTTACTAACTATGAGACCCTGGGCAAGTCATTTAATCTCTATTTAGGGCAACTCCTGGCACCCATCCTATCACCCATCTAGATGGGTACAATCTATTTGGGCAGAGGGGACTCTCACACTTTAAGTTCCCCATGTTTATAAAATCATAAAACATTCGTGTTATATCATGAACTGAATCTACTTTGAGTACTTTTTTTTTTTAATAGACTAGGTAAGGAGGCACTTTCCAGGCTGGGAACTGAGCTCAAGAGATCTGCCCGCTTCAGCAGGGATTACAGGCATGTATCACCATGCCCACAGGCAACTTGGTGGTGTAATAGATAGAGTGCCAGGCCTAGAGTCAGGAAGACCTGAGTTCAAATCCAGTACTAGCAGTGTGATCCTGGGCAAGTCACTTAACCCTGTTTGCCTCAGTTTCCTCATCTATAAAATGTGCTGAAGAGGGAACTGGCAAACTACTTTGCCAAGATAACCCCAAATGGGGTCATGGATAATCAGACACAAGTGAAATGACTGAACAACAACAAAAATCACCATGTCTGGCTTATTTTAAGCCCTTGAAATGATAATCATTTAAATGAAATTACTCCTTTTACCTTTCAATTTTCCATCACAACCCATTCTAGGTTTACTATATTACCAACAATTATTTAGTTATGTGATTTCACAATGAATATTTTCATCTATCTTAAGGAACACAGTCAGTCTCATAGTTTAACCATCATTCTTTTTTTGTTCTTTTGGGTTTTTTTTGTTTGTTTTTTTAGCGAGGCAATGGAGTTAAGTGACTTGCCCAGGGTCACACAGCTAGTAAGTGTTATGTGTCTGAGGGCAGATTTGAACTCAGGTCCTCCTGAATCCAGGGCTGATGCTCTGTCCACTGCGCCACGTAGCTGCCCCTTTAACCATCATTCTTGAAAACTAACATATTTCTTGTACGTACAAAAAGTAGTATGGTGTGCTAATTTGCTTCTTATAAGCTGAAATGGAGTGGGAAACTAGAAAAGATTGTTTCAAAGCTAAAATAAACAAAGATAAGCTTGTTGTAAGGTGAGTGGAAAAGGTGATTGATGGCCTGGGGGACTTTTGTGGATTAAGTTGTATGAGCTTTACACACATGTATTTTGACACCTTTTACCATTTTCTCATTCTTTGCTATGTTCAGCTGAGTATGATGTTGCTGTATGTATTTAGATAAACATAAAAATCAGTGTACTATCTCCTCATCTCTTAACTGTTAAAGATGAGTATTTTTTTGCTATTACATTTTTATTTCATAGGAGTGGGATAGTTAGTGTGTAGAGTATTAAACCTGGAGGCAGGAAGACCTGGGATCCAATCCTGCCTCAGTCACCCTGGGCAAGTCACTACTCCTCTGTTTCTTCATCTGCAAAAAAGGGGATAAAACCAAATAAGATAATGTATGTAAAGTGCTTTGCAAACCTTAAAGTGCTACGTAAATACATGTTATTGTATAATCACGACTAGTTCTGTGTTAGATGTTGTTCACCCTTTCTTGAAGAGGACCAAGGACGTCAGCAAGGTGATGACTTGACTTGCGAGTGAATTGGATTTTAGTGAGACAGAGCTGTGCAAAGTCATCAGCCTCACTCTCTCCCCATAGTCACTGGAGTCCAGTGGCAAGACATAGGCGATGGCCCCAGATGCAGAGGGAGACCTTGGCCTTTGGATTTCAGTGAGACAGAGCTGTGCAAAGTCATCAGCCTCACTCTCTCCCCATAGTCACTGGAGTCCAGTGGCAAGACATAGGCGATGGCCCCAGATGCAGAGGGAGACCTTGGCCTTTTTAAGCTAAGGTCTTTCCCAGGTCTCAGTTTGTCTGAGGCAACATCAATTTGGTAGTTAACAGCTAGGTAAGAATTGAAGTAAAAGGTGGCCTAGTTTGCCTTCACAAAAGAATCAGTCTTTGAGGGGAAGACCCTCAGAGTTTCTGGCCAGAACAGAAACAATTACTATGTACACTCGTGTCGGATAAAATAAAAACCAACTATCTTTTTTATCGTATAGCTTATATTTAGATGACTGAAAACTATCAAACTTCAAAAATTACAATAAAACAAAGCTGAAAAGGCAAAAAAAAAAAGTTGTTTAACACAGAGGTATCTGATAAAACTTCTAGGAGAGAATAACTACCAGAATACTAAGTAGCATTTATATAGCACTTTATGGTTTGCAAAGAGCTAGACACGTGTTACCTCATTTAAACCTCACAATAACCCTGTGAGATAAGTACTATTATTATCTCCATTTTACAGATGAGGAAACTGAGGCTAAGAGAGGTTAACTTATTTGACTTGTCCCATAACCAGTTATCTGAGGTGGGTTTTGAGTTACAGTCTTCCTGACTGCCAGTCCAGAGCTACTGTGCCACCATGAGATGGATAAGCCCCTGCCCACTTAAGAGCATATAATGCCATTTACTATTTTTTGAGTTTTTAGAATATAATGCTTTTTGGTGTGTGTGTTTTAGGAGAAAAGATCACAGTTAAAGTATGTCCATCAGAAGAAGAAACTGCACAACTTCTTAGTAAGGTTCTTAATGGTAACAAGTTGGCATCCGAAGCACTGGCCCAAGCTGTACATCAAGATATTTCATTTGCTGACCCAGCTCTGGATTTGGTGAAAATCAACATTCCACAAGATATCATGGGAATGTGGGTGGATCCCATAGGTAAGAGAGTGGGGGTGGATCCCTATCTTATAATAAACACATTGTTATTCTGTTAATACCAAGTAAAGGGCGCACAGAGTGATCTTGTACATTCCCAAGTGAATTTCATAATATGCTGCATAGGGAGTCTAGTCTATGATCATGCAATAAAGACTGGGTCTGTGATTTCATTTGTATAGTACTCAGAGGAGGAAACTCCATCTGTCAGGACAGGTACATCCCTTCTTTGCAACTTAAAACCTTAGCAGAACCTCCTAGGGACTGAGAGGAAAAGTGACCAAGGCCATATGGCCAGTATGTGTCAGAAGCAGAACTTGAACCCAGGTCTTCTCGAGTCTGAGACCAGTTCTCTATTCACTATACCATGATTTCTGTCAACTCTTCCTATTTCTCTCCTTCACCCATTTTTATAATCATCGCAGGATATTAGCATTATTTTTCGTACCTTCTTTCAGTACTGGGCTGATTTTAAAACGCAAAGCTTTCTAACATATTAGAAGTTTTATGTTATTAAGTACAAGAAATAGCTCAACATCGAGAGAGGCATTGAGGCAGAGTCAGGAAGACCTACCAGTTAGAATAGGACTTCTAGTTCTTGCCTCTGACACATACTAGCTAGGTCACTATGGGCAAGTCACTTAAGCTATCAGTGTTCCCAGCACCTCCCTAAGACTTGAAGTTACCGAGGATTTGCTGGTTTTCATTATTGGAAGAGTTAACTCCCTAGGTAAAAATCACAGGTCCAGTAAAAGGAATAAATATAAGTACTGCTGTCTCTGTGAAAGGATAAAAATAAGTTTAAGGAAAAAAAAGGTGAGGGAGAGAAAAGGTAAGTATAATATAGTACCTGCTTACAAAGAATGTACAGTTTATTTTTTAAATAATTATAATTTTTTTAATATTATTTTTTTAAAAAGTTGAGTAGTTCCCAATTCTCTCCTTCCCTTAAGCCCCTCTCCCACCCATTGAGAAGACAAGCAATATGATATCAATTATACATGTGAAGTCATAAAAAAAATTTCCATATTAGCGATGTTGCAAAAAAAGAAGTAAGAAAAATAAAGTAAGTGAAAAAAATATGCATCAATCTGCACTTAGAATTCATCAGATAGCATCTTTCTTCGTGAGTCTTTTGGAATGTGTTAGATCTTTTTATTGATTAGAGTAAGTCTTTCACAGTTAGTCATCATTACATTATTGCTGTTACTATGTACATTGTTGTTCTGGTTCTGATCACTTCACTTTGTATCAGTTCATATAAGTCTTTTCAGGTTCTTCTGAAACCATTCCCCTGGTCAGTTCTTATAGCACAATAGTAATCACAATCATATACCACTAGTTGTTCAGTCATTCCCTGATGGGTATTTCATCAATTTTTAATTATTTGCCACCGAAAAAAAGAGCTACTATAAATATCTTTTTACATATAGGTCTTTCTCCTTTTTCTTTAATCTCTGTGAGATACAGATCTAGTAGTGGTATTGCTGGATTAAAGGGTATGCCCAGTTTTATAGCTCTTTGAGCACAATTCCAGGGGCAGCTATGTGGTACAGTAGATAGACCTCCATCCTTGGAGTCAGGAGGACCTGAGTTCAAATCTTGCCTCAGACACTTGATACTTACCAGCTGTGTGACCTGGACAAGTCACTTAACCCCAGATTGCCTCACCAAAAAAAAAAAAAAAGAGCAAAGTTCCAAATTGTTCTCCATAATGACTGGATTAGCTTGCAACTTCACTAGCACTGCATCGGTGTACCTATTTTCCCCACATCCTCACTACCATTTGCCATTTTCCTTTTCTGTCATGCTAGTCAATCGGAAAGGTGTGAAGTGATACCACAGAGTTTTAAAATTTGTATTTCTCTCATCAATGGTGATTCAGAATATTTTTTCATATGACTATTGATAACTTAGGTTTTTTCTTCTAAAAACTACCAGTTCATATCCTTTGACCATTTATCAATTGGGGAATGCTCTTATTCTTATAAATTTGGTCCAGTTCCCTATATATTTGAGAAATGAGACCTTTATCAGAGAAACTTGCTGTTAATTTCCCCCCTGCCCCAGTTTCCTGCTTTCCTTCTAATTTTGGTTGCATTAGTTTTGTTTGTACAAAAACTTTTATATTCGTGTAATCAAAAGTCTCCATTTTAATTTCTGTGATCTCTATCTCTTGTTTGTTTATAAACTTTTCCCTTATCCATAGATCTGATTTTTCCATTTTTTCCAATTTTTCCATGCTCCCCTAATTTGCTTAAGATATCACCCTTTATGTCTAAATCATGTACCCATTTTGATCTTATCTTAGTATACAGTGTGAGATGTTGGTCTGTACCTAGTTTCAGCCAAACTGCTTTCTATTTTTCCCAGTAATATTTGTCAAATAGTGAAATCTTACCCCAAAAGCTTGAATCTTTGGGTTTATCAAACACTAAATTACAATGGTCATTTACTATATGCTGTGTACCTAATCTACCCCACTGATCCACCACTCTATTTCATAGCCAGTACAAGATTGTTTTGATGATTGCCACTTTGTAATATAGTTTGAAATCTGGTGCTGCTAGGCTGCCTTCCTTCACATTTTTTTCATTGATCAATTCACTTGATATTCTTGATTTTTTGTTCTTCAGACAAATTTTGTTGTTTCTTTCTAAATCAAAAAAATAATTCTTTGGTAGTTTGGTATGGCACTGAATTTGTCATTTTTATTATATTGGCTCAGCCTACCCATGAGCAATTAATATTTCTCCATTTGTTTAGATCTGTCTTTTTCTGTATGAAAAGTGTTTTGTAATTATGTTTTTACAATTCCTGGGTTTGTTTTGGCAGGTAGACTCCCTAGTTTTTCATATTGTCTACAGTTATTTTAAACAGAATTTCTCTTTCTATCTCTTCCCCCGGGGTTTTGTTGGTAATATATAGAAATGCTGATGATTTATCTGAGATTATTTTATATCCTGCAACTTTACTGAAGTTGTTCATTATTTCAACTAGTTTTTAGGTGATTCTCTAGCGTTCTCTAAGTATACCATCATATCAATTTCTTTTTCTTGTCTTATTGTTTTACCTAGTATTTCTAGTACAATAGTGAATAATAGTGGTGATAATGGATGTCCTTGCTTCACCCAAGTTTTCAGTTTAATTGGAGAAACAATATATGAATACAAATAAGTTAAGGAACAGTTGAAGACATAAATAGAAGGGGGGTAAGAAGATTAAGACAAGGACCTATAAATGCCATAAGAGTATAGAAGGGGAGAAAAAAAATGGGTTCATCACCATCCTAATCAAGCTTTATCTGAATAATGACCATTTTAATTTATTTTTAGACTCTACTTATCAATACATAAAAGGGTCTGCTGACATCAAGCCCAATCGAGGAATATTTCCATGTGGACTTCAGTGTGTTACTATATTAATTGGTGTCTATGATAGACAAACAGGGGTGCCATTGATTGGAGTCATCAATCAACCATTTGCTTCACAAGATGTAAAAACACTCAGGTAAAAGATGAATTGGTTTTGGGTGTCAGAATTGTCAGAACTTAGTCTCTGACATAGCTATCTTTTAAGATGCACCAGACCTGGATACCAAGAAATAGGTTCTAACTCTAGTTTTGCCAACTTCTGTGATCTTGCCTACATGAGTTTCTAAGTCTGACTATCCCTATTTATAAAATAAGGGAGTTGGACTAGGCCAGGGGTGGGGAACCTACCGATCTTGAAGCCACATGTGGCCCTCTAGGTCCTCAAGTGCGGCCCTTTGACTGAATCCAGAATTGGCTGCACTTGGGGACGGAGAGGGCCATATGTGGCCTCGAGGCCAGCAGGTTCCCCACCCCTGGACTAAATCTTTGAGAATCCGGAGAATCCCTTCTAACTCGGAAACTCTCTAAGATCTCTCTTTATATTTCATTACAATTACTGAGCTATATTGGAATGTTTCTGCTGAAAGTTTTCCAGTATAAAATTTTAAATAAGGTGGGGCCTATGTTAATTTTTGAAGGTTGATTTTTATTTTTCCTAAGTAAATTCTTTATCTAATCAGACCAAAAATCGACATTTTCCAGTTACACTAAGTTCTGCACCTACTTCCAAAGACTTATAACCTCTGCTATTTGTGCCATCAAAAAGAGTGGAACTGGAGAGTAAGGGAAGATAAAGCAGAGTTACTAAAACCATGAAAAATTTAAGCAAGAGCTAGAAGCCATCCTTAAGTTGGACACAACTTTATTCTTTCACCTTAACTTTTGCACTTGATTTCATATCCCAAAAAATGGTGCTAAATTTTTTATAGTATTAATAATATAGTCACCTGGCAGGTCAATGCTCCTAAAACATTTTTGTGCTATCATGGACATGACAAAGGTAGGAATTGAAAGGCCAAGATTACTTCCATGCCATGATGAGGCACTAGAATAAGACTTTAGTGCAGAATAAAGGTTTTAAGCCCCTTTAAAATAACTGTGGCAAAAGTAATGAAGAATATGTGTGTATATTTACAATGAAAAACTAATGTCATCTGGGAAAATACAAATGAAGGGGGAAAAATCACTTGCATTTCTTTTTCACAGGTGGAAAGGACAGTACTTTTGGGGCCTTTCTTATATGGACTCCAACATTCATTCACTTCAGCTTTCCAATGAGAACGGAAATGATGGTGAAGCAGCCAGCCAGCTGACTGAAGAGACCAGCTGTGAACCTAAATTCACCAAGCACTTTTCTGCTGTCATTAGTACAAGTGAAAAGGACACCATCAAAACAGCCCTATCCAATATATGTGGTGAAAATGTATATGGGGCAGCTGGAGCTGGGTACAAGAGCCTTTGTGTTGTACAAGGTTTTGCTGATGTCTACATCTTTTCCGAGGATACCACATTCAAATGGGACTCCTGTGCTGCGCATGCCATATTGAAGTCAATTGGTGGAGGAATGGTGGATTTGAGGGAGTGCTTAAAAAGAAACCCAGAAACTGGGCTTGATTTGCCGCACTTGTTGTACAATGTGGACAATCAAGGGGCTACTGGTATAGATCGATGGGCCAATAAGGGTGGACTTGTTGCTTACAGATCACAGCAAAGGCTAGAAACATTCCTGGATCTGCTGATTGAAAACTTGTCACTTTCTAACATGTTGACATAGGTTGGCACCTGAAATCAGTGTGTATTTGTCTTATACCATAACAGTATTTCTGATTTACCTTTATCTCTAAAGTAGCTTTGTATTGTTTTGTGGTTAAATGTTCAAGTTCTTCCTATGAATAGCAATACCTATTTGCACTTAAAACCAATTCTTTTTCTATTACTATGCTTTAAACATCACTAATTCTGATCTTTGAGCCGAAGAATTTTGTGTAACAATATAAAAATGTATCTAGCGCAACGTTAGTCTACCAAAGACTGGTCCAAAACATAGAATATTTAAATTATACAGTAGATTCTTTGGATTATAGTAAATTTTTATGGGAAAAGATTCATTTGTGTGGAAAATGGATAGTATTCTAAATCTATACCCAATGACTTACCCTCCAACAAAAAAAACTAAGTTACAAAGAATTTGGAGAGAATAGTCTTCATACCATATGAATCTTTGCTTCTATAAATGTTGCTTACTCTTATTAAAATTATCTGGTAGATCCTACTCCTATTTTGTGGTCTTTCAGACCCAGTGCTGCTAACTACAAAGATAAGCAGGATGGGAGAAAAGCTTGAGCTCAAACTCACACTGAGAATATGCGAGCTAAAGGGGATCAAAAGCAGAAAGAGCCCCTTCAAAATTTAATTTTCTTAGGATTACCAGACTGTTGTCTGCCGTATGCCCTCTGGTGGTTATTTAGAGTGCCTGCAGTGTTCTCTATCAACATAAAGCACTGAACTCTAGTTTCTTAATGGAGGATATTTAGTATGCAGACGATTGAAATTTCAAATCATGGTCCATCTTCTGATTTTTTTCTTTGTCTTTCCTTCTAGGACTTTCTGATAAATATTTATTAAGTACCTGCCAGGTACTATACTAAGTGCTGGAGATACAAAAAGAGGCAATAAAACAGTCCCTGCCCTCAAAGAGCTCATAGTAAAATGGAGGAGCTCACAATCTAACAGACAAATCAAGAAAAGTTTATTCTACTGTTATTGTAAAAATGGTTCATTCTGAGATAGTGGCATTCCCCAAAAAGCTGCTTAAGACTTTTGCAGACATTCTGTACGATGAGATGAGTAGATTGGTAGGAATTATTATCTATATATTAGGAAAACTGGTGAAGACCAGATAAAGTGACTGTGAAACCTAATATTCCTCACGGATGTAAACCATTTTAATTTACAAACTGTTCAGTTGGTCTTTTTGTTTAACAGCTTCACATAAACCAGTTTTTGGGTTGTAAACCAGAGGATCTTATTTATTTTCTTACTCTTTTTGATTATTTTAATTACTGTGTATAATAACATGTATGTGATAAAAAACTAAACTGGAATAAAGAACTACGTAGCATGCAGTAGTACAGTGATGGCATTCTTTTTTTGTCTGTAATTTCCAGTATATCATTGCAATATATGTAACAGGGTTTTAGAGGCTCTGACCTCATGTGGGTCTCAGGTGCATCCACTTGGTGGTGGTAACCACCCTGAACTTCCACTTCTTAGCCTATGTGACTCATTACCTTTATTCATTCTCCTCTTGGGTGCTAAGGCAATTAAAGGGTATGTGTTGATATTGTCTCATCAATGAGAGGTGTTGCAATTTTAGTAATGTGTCAATTAGCTCTGAGTCCTCAACATAGTATCTCCTATACGTTGACTGTGAAATCAGTCACCACTAACCATCACTCCGAAAACATTATCATTCAGTTCTTTCCGGATGAGGGCTAAAGTTTTTCTTAAAAATTCTTTTCACAAGATTAAGAATTAATCATTTCTCTCAGAAAAGAAGTTTAACATGTTCTCTCTTTAGTCTCTTGTCCTAGTATCCATCACAATTAAGTGATAGTTCTACTGTCTCTTCCTAATATTCCATCGCATAACGGTATCCTTGGACTCTAGAGGAGTGGTTATTGAATCTAGTCTTGAAAAATTTAATTCTTTGTTTATAGTGAAATTATAATTGCAATCTTTAAAAAATTGCTTCTCAATCTTAAAGTTAGTTACATGTTCATAAAACTCATTGGAATGGTAACCTGAAAACAGTCCCTGGTTAATACAAGGAACACTGTGTCCTAACTGTGCCTCTGTACTTTTATCTATTATCAATGGAGGACACAAAAGAAAATAGCTATGGTACTTCTGGCCCCTCTAGAATTTGACAAATTGACTTGCAAAGTCAATTTGTGGCCTATTATTGAATGTGGCCTGTTACTGAAACTATGGGCTCATATAGATGAGGGCTTATCACAATAGCAGCACCCAAAATAATACCCTTCAGGGCTGAGCCTAATCATCAATTGAAAAAAAAAAAGTGGATCTTCAACAAAGGAAAGTCATTCTTCCAAAAGACATGAGACTACCAAAGTATTCAGCTTGAAAATACTCCAAATTACAGAAAGAAAAGAAAGACAAATGAATATGATTATCAAGAAAAGGGTAAACAATGAAATTAATTTCCTCATGCTTATGGGACAAAACAAGATTTTTTAAAATTGAGTTAAAGAAAGAACAAGGGGCTTATAAGTAGCCGCAGCCAGCAGCCTCAGGAGCTCTCATCCCAGAGATGGGAAAGGAGTCAGACAGCTGATCAGAAACAGATTACAGGGGACCACGTTACTGGCACTTGGTATGGCAGCTACTAATTGGCAACTCTATTGCCCATATGTAGTTCTGGGTCAAAGTTCCATGACAAAGAGAAGTGCTTGTGGTCAGTCACAGGGGAGCAGGGTCCCTGGTCACAGTTCCAAGGTAGAGTGGGGCACTAGTAGCTGCAGGGGAGCAGGGAGCAAAGAAGAGCAGGGATCACATCTCTCCCCAAATCACACCACCTTGGATACACCAAAAACTTGCAGACCCCCAGAACTAGCTCTGAAAATTGAATAGAAAAGCCTGAAGCTTGGAACAGTGCCTTCCCACCCCACGGTGAGCAGAGCCTGACTTTAACATAAAGTTTGGAATCAAGAAATATACTGGGGAGAATGAACAAATAACAAGAATAAAAAAAGGTCTTGACCATAAAAAGCTACTACAGTGTAAGGGGAGACCAAAACACAAACTCAGTAGAAGACAATATGAAAACAGCTACAAGCAAAGCCTCAAAGAAAAATGCTAATTGGACACAAGCCCAACAAAAATTTCTGGAAGAGTTCAAGAAAGAGATAAGAGTGGTAGAGGAAAAAATGGGAAAAGAAATGAGAGCAATGCAAGAAAATTATGAAAAGAGAATTAACAACTTAGTAGAAGAGACAAAAAATACTGAAGAAAATAACGCCTTAAAAAACAATTGACTAAATAGGAAAAGAGGCAGAAAAGCTCACTAAAGAATTCCTTAAAAATTAGAATTGGGCAAGTAGAAGCTAATGACCTTATGAGACATCAAGAAACAAAATAAACTCAAAAGAATGAAGAAATAGATGAAAATATTAAATAGCTCATCAGAAAAATAACTGACCTGGAAAATAAATCGAAGAGAGATAATGTAAGCCATGATCAAGAAAGAGCTTAGACACCATATGCCAAAAAATCATCAAGCAAAACTGCCCTAATCTCTTAAATCCAGAAGGTAAAATAGAAATTGAAAGACTCCACTAGTCACCTCCTGAAAGAGATCCCAAAATGAAAACTCCCGTGAATAGTATAGCCAAATTCCAGAGCTCCCAGGTCAAGGAGGAAATATTGCAAGTAACTAGAAAGAAACAATTCAAAAATTGTTGTAAATATTGAATAAGGCTCACACAAGCTTTAGCAGCTTCCATGTTAAAGGAGTAGAGGGCTTAGAATATGATACAGACAGTTGTAGATTTATCTAAATTCACATTATGCAAATGTGATTTTTACATAAAGAATTCTGGAAGAAATCCACATCGCCCCTTAAAAAAAACTATCTTAACTTTATTGTACAGTACTGTGCTCTCTCTCTCTGCTCCTACCCTTCATCTCAGAGCTCTGTGGTCCCCCAATCACCTCCCCCTCCAAAAATTGGAGACAAACATAAATCTTACAATCATAATGTTGGCATCATTGTTGTTGAGTCTGTCTAACTCTTTGTGACCTTGTGGACCATACTGTCCATAGGGTTTTCTTGACAAAGATACTGGATGGGTTTGCCATTTCCTTCTCCGGTGGATTGGGCAAACAAATGTTAAATGACTTGCCCAGGGTCACACAGCTAGTGTCTGAGGCAGTATTTGAATTCGGGTCTTGACTCCAGTCAAGTCTTAACTCCGGTGCTCTATCCATCTGTTTAATGAACTAGAGAAGGAAATGGCAAATCATTCCAGTATGTTTGCCAAGAAAACCTCAAATAGGGTCATGAAGAGATGGCCATGACTGAAACAACAATAACAACAACAACAAAAACAACAGAAGAGCTATTTGGAGGTGATAAGAGGTAAGATGACTTGCTCAGGGTCACACAGTCGATTTGTATGTCACAGCCAGGACTTGAATTCAGTTCTTTTTGATTCTGTCTACTACACCATGCTGCCTCATGTTATAGATCATAACTCAGTAAAAATGATAAATAATGCAATGTTCAAGCCAAAAAAAATGGACCTAAATGGGAAGTAAATGACATTCTGAATGCTGAGTAAATCATTGAACAAATTATAGAAACAACTATTAATTGTATAAAAAAAAATAATAACAGAGATCATAGAGGCCACTTGGTGGCCCAGTGGCTGGAGTATTGGACTTAGAGTCGAGAAGATCTTCATTTAAATCCTTAGTAGGCCCTTGAGCAAGTTACTTAACCTCTCAGCCTCGATTTCTCAGCCTCATTTTGGAAAAGAAACATTTTTGATAGTTGATTATTCCCAGTGGCTTCAAATTTCAGCCTACAGATTGACACAAAATGGATACCCTACCAAGAAAGTAAATGGTGACAAAATGATATATACATTCCTATAGGAAAAGCTATTTAATGGAGGCACAGCTGTCTCATCTAAACAATGTTTATCCATATGTTATCACCATGTGTCTTTGTAATGCAATTCAACTGAATCAGCATTCTTTTATTTATGGAATAAAGTGGCGGTTAGAAACATGGTACCTATTTAAAGCATGAAAGCAGTAACTTATTAAAGCATAAAATCCACTAAGAGACATGGTTTTCTGGTTCCTTTTGTCTTTTCCTAAGCCTGCAGAAACGTTCTTCTATTAAAACTATTGGGACTGTGAAAGGAAGACCTTGGTTGCAACCAGATTCCTTTTAAAATTTCATTGACTGGTTTCATTGAATTCTGTTTCTTAAAATTACAGAAGATAGGCCTGTTGTGGGAGTGATAAGAGGATGTTTCTGCTGTTTCTGTATGGCATATGAGGCACAAATCAATTTTTTTTTTAAAGTACTGTCAGTTCTATTATAATACCAATGCATTCCCAGAAAGCACTACATTATGCAAAACCTCACAATAGATCCACAGAGAGCTTATGGGAAAAATGGGATTAGGGGCACAATGCTAAAAAGAAAAAAAAAAAAACCTCATCAGTGACAAATTTTTTTTAAAAAAGGGAACCTAGTAAAATAGGCAGCAGTTTTACACGTGTTAAATAAATAGTGGCAGAGTCTGCAGCCTTAGGCCATCCAGGCTACTGCTCAACTTGTTCTCCCTGCCCCCCACCCCATCTCTTTACCTCGACAAAGATCCAAAGTTTGTTTGTGAAAATGGGCATTAGGAGGTTGCAACTTGGGATTTATTGTGAAGTGGGACAGTTTTCTGCATTCTCTCTGTTTCTCTCGGAAGAAATTACGTATCAATAAATTCAAAATGTGTCATACTCAACATGTTCCCTAATATATTAGTAGCTTTGAAACAAATTCTCATTTTTAAAACAAGCATTATAGCAGAATTGACTGTATTTAACAACCATCAAGA